CCCCAGCACAACTCCCCCCTCACCGAACCCTTCACCCTCGAAGAAGTCTCCCTCAGCGCCAAATACGGCAAAAATTCCGCCCCCGGCCCCGACTCCATCAATCGCCGCACCATTAAGAACCTCCCTGAATCCATCTTTCCACTCATAACCTCCCTCTTCAATGCTTGCCTCTCACAATCATACTTCCCCTCAATCTGGAAAACCGCCCATACTATCCTAATCCCCAAACCAGGCAAAGACCCCACCGATCCCAATTCTTACCGCCCAATTTCCCTCCTCAACGTCCTGGGGAAACTCTTTGAGCGCCTGCTCAAGGAGCGAATCTGGGACTTCCTCGAGACCAATAACACCATTCCTCCCTTCCAACACGGCTTCCGCTCCCACCACAGCACCCAGGACGCGCTCCTGAAACTCCTCAACCACATCACCACCACCTTCAACCAAAACCATCTCCTGTCCGCCGTCCTCCTGGATGTCCAAAAAGCTTTCGATCAAGTCTGGCATGCCGGACTAGTGAGGAAGCTAATGGCCATTCATTTACCTTTTCCTACTATCCGTCTCCTACACTCCTACCTCACCAACCGCTCCATCAAGGTTAAAGTGGGCAACCACTTGACTGATCCCTTCCAACCTCTAACCGGGGTCCCCCAAGGATCCGTTCTTGCTCCTCTCCTCTACATCATATATACATATGATGTACCCACCCCCCAATCTCCCTACAGCCACATCCAACTATACGCCGACGACACCATCCTATTCTCCTCTGCCCCCAATACCCTCCAACTCTCCAGCCGAACCCAAACTCATCTAGACCAATTCTCCTCCTGGTGCTGCAGGTGGAGAATCACTCTAAACCCTCAAAAAACCCAGGCGATTCAATTCTCCCGAACTAAGTCCCGCAAAAAGAATTCCGACCTACTTCTGCTTCGTCTGTTGGGAGAGAGACTCGTCCTATCGGACTCGGTGGTCTATTTAGGGGTGCGATTTACTCGCTCTCTGAACTGGACCGCCGACGTCCAAAACACCCTCAACAGGGTGAGGCGACGGGCCGCTCTCCTAAAAGGCTTAAGCGGAAGAATCCGCAAATGCCACCCACGAACCCTTCTCCACACTTATAAAATGTTCATCCGCCCAATTTTCGATTACCGATCGATCGTCTACTCTACTCTTCCAAATACCCACCTCCACTCCATCCTCGCTACTGAGAGAAAAATCATCCGCAGAACCCAATACCTTGACCCATTTTTTCCCAGCAACCTTCTCTACAAAAAAATAAACGAAACTGACATAATTTCTCGTTTTCAGAAACTTCAAGGAAGCTATGCCACCCGGACACTCCAAGGGCCGAACGTCTCAGCCCGCCAAGTCCTTGGAGCCCCTCCGCCACAACGAAGACCGAAGATCCCCAAGAAGAAACTCCCGCAACCCAACGCCAGGATTCTCCAAGCCGCCAACCCCGACGACCTCCCAGAAGAACTCCGGACGCTAATGGATGAATTTCCATTAGCCTTTAGATAAGTTTCCGATACCTAAGACTATGTACAGGACCAGACCATGGGTTTTCTGAGGTTTCCCTATGGTTCTCACCGAATGGCTGGACCTTAAACGGGAACAAAGCGGCCTCAGCCTGCTCCCTCCACAATATTCAAAATCTTTTTCTTTTTTTTACTTTTTTTAGCTAGCTAATATTGTAATAGGACCATGCCCTGAAAAGGAAATGTATTCCTACAGCAGGGACTATAGGGAAATATAATAATATACAATGTAAAAATTTCTAATCAAACCAATAAACATATTTTAAAATTGAAAATTGAATTGAGTATATGGGTTTTTTGTAATCCCCTGGGTGACCTCTATATAGGGTTAAAATATTGCCCTTTCCCAATGAAACACCCTGTATGTGTTATGTCAGAGGAGATGTTTAATTGAATTATACAGTGGAAGTTCAGCTATGCATTTCTGGCATCATGGAAATACATACAATATTAATATCAAAAAAACAACTTACGGATCGTCCAAATCCTTGCACAATGTGTATGAACTGTTATATTTGTTATTCTGCAAGGACATGCCTTGAACAAAGCAGATCATAAGACCAAATACACAGAGAGCTGCTGCCTTGTACATTTTGAATTCAGGATTGAATTAAGGATGTTTCTTAACGATGAGAAGCGAGCTTATATAATATATAGGTTTAATTTTAATTTTTATCTAGACAAATTTCTTACTTTACCTTTGAAATATAATCATGAGTGTAAACTTAATTTGAATATAGATATTTCACATCATTTTGAGAGAACATCTATTGTGATATTTGTTAGTTAGAACCATAGGGTCGGTATAGATAAGATTGTAAAGTAAATACACTCCTGGACAAAATTAACGCAACATCATAAATTTGCCACATTTTTTATGCTATTTTTTGTTTGAATTTATGATCCGATTTGGATGATTTTTTTTTTGTATTATAGGTTGGTTCCTTGACAATGTCATCATTTTCGCTGTTTATGATAAAATGTTCCTTTTCGATTATACCGGGTGTAATAAAAATGTAATGTTTTTTTTCCGAAAATTCGTATCACTCTGTGGAGTATACTAACAAACGAGACATATAGCAGTTGAAATTAGACGGTAAATCCATCTTTTGCCAACATTTTCTTTTTTGGTTTACTTCATTATCTCTGTTATAAAAGACGATACGCCGTTTTATAGCGTAACATGTTTTAATAGACTGTATTATTCAAAACATTCATTGTTAAATATTTTCAAGTAGGCTATGGGCGATTTTTGACATTTCAAGTGATGTGTCAATATCGAATACATTGTTTGTTATCTGTTATCTGGTATAACAAAATAATTCCTGCTCGCTTTGATGAATGAAAACAAAATTAACGAATTACTTTATTCCATAAAGTAAAATTAAGAGTTTATTAAACACATTTTTTTTGGAAACGAGCGAAACAAGAAAAGAACAAAAAACAAAAACAATAAAATTAATGGATTTATAATGCTAATAACGTGTATGCCCACCTCTTTCTGCTTCTTCGGTCGATAAATTTTTTGGACAATTCATTTTTCAAGATTAAAATAACAAATAATGTATTCGATATTGACACATCGCTTGAAATGTCAAAAATGGCCCATAGCCTTTGATAATATTTAACAATGAATGTTTTGAATAATACAGTCTATTAAAACATGTTACGCTATAAAACGGCGTATCTCCTTTAATATCAGAGATAATGAAGTAAACCAAAAAAGAAAATGTTGACAAAAGATGAATCTACCGTCTAATGTCACCTACTATACAGTGCATTTCTTTAATGTCCCCCCCCCCTTTTATTTTTTGAACGGGTCAACTTAGAAAATTGAAATTTGGGATAATGAAACTAATGCATGATTACTATATTTTGGAGTAAAATTGACAGACGAAAATTTCAAGATGGCGACTGGGCGCCATCTTGGAAAATAAATTTAAATGGAAAGGGGGGTCTTGTGATACATCATTTTGAAGCTCCTGACAAATACTCTACAACCCTGAAATATAAAGTCAATATCTGCACCTGCTACAAAATGGCGGAACATTTAATAATTACCTGAATACAAACAAAATAATATCAATTTTTCTAGAAATATTTGTTTTTCTATGGCAAACAGCAATCCCAGCAAACCGATAAGGTTTGACAGGTTATTTTTGGTTAAAAAAATTCCAAAAAATTTAAGTACGACAACGAACATTAATTGTTTAGTCAAAATATGCTCATTTAGTTTTTGGTTTTCCTGGTGTTCAAAATATTCTCTTTAGTTTTCGATTTTCCCAGTGTTCAAAGTATTTTCATTTAGTTTTCGGTTGTTTAGTTCTCATTGCAGTTAGGTAGCACGTGAACTAACTCTAAAATGGCCAATTCTCGTCCATTGGAAGATGGAGCACCACCACATTACTCCAGACAAGTAATTCAACTATTTGGATGCTATTTTCCCTGGTCGTTGGATCGTTGGATTGGTCGTCGAGGTCCTACGGAATGGATTTGACCAGAATTTGACCAGATTTGACACCTTTAGACTTTTTTTATGGGGCTATTTGAAGCAAAATGTGTACGAAACTAAACCTGCTTCAATATTGGATATACGAGAAATAATTACAGATATTTGTAAAAATATCGACGTTACTATGTTCGAAAATGTTCGGATAGGCTGTTCTTGTATCAAGAAGTTCAAGGCAACCATTTCCAGCTTTTTTTGAACAGAACTCAGCTTATTTCCTCAAATTATGACGTTAAACGTCGATTTATTCAGGTAATTATTAAATGTCCGCCATTTTGTAGCAGGTGCAGATATTGACTTTATATTCCTGGGTTGTAGAGTATTTGTCAGGAGCTTCAAAATGATGTATCACAAGACCCCCCTTTCCATTTAAATTTATTTTCCAAGATGGCGCCCAGTCGCCATCTTGAAATTTTCGTCTGTCAATTTTACTCCAAAATATAGTAATCATACATTAGTTTCATTATCCCAAATTTCAATTTTCTAAGTTGACCCGTTCAAAAAATAAAAGGGGGGGGGGACATTAAAGAAATGCACTGTATGTCTCGTTTGCTAGTATACTCCACAGAGTGATACGAATTTTCGGAAAAAAACATAACATTTTTATTACACCCGGTATAATCGAGAAGGAACATTTTATCATAAACAGCGAAAATGATGACATTGCCAAGGAACCAACCTATAATACAAAAAAAAATCATCCAAATCGGATCATAAATTCAAACAAAAAATAGCATAAAAAATGTGGCAATTATTTATGATGTTGCGTTAATTTTGTCCAGGAGTGTACTTGGAGCCAAAAGCACTATGTGTGTGCTATATGTATGTATACCTAAAGCTTTTTAGGTGTAGTAAAAATTATAGGCATACAATGAACCTTGAATTTTTATATTTTAATTGATTAACATTAATTTATTGACTTATGCTAGCTAATTAGATGGCGTTACAGTGATTGAGTCGGAGCTAGGTCATCTCGTATAGATTTGGAAAGTGTAGTCGTAATCAGCCAATATCGAATGGATATAAATTTTGAAGATGGCAAATTGGTGGTTGAGTCCTCCTTGTACTATCACAACTTCGCTTGCGTTATAACTCGAATTGTCGATGACCTAAAAATAATATTGATTAACCATTTTTTTTAAACAATTCGTTAATTTATGTATCGTGTAATCATTTATTTAAGAAGCCTCTTAAACATCTCGAAAAACATGGCAACCAACGAGATAAAATAATATTTGAATCTAATATTTTTAACAAGTTTTGATGGGTCTTTGAAGGACCGTTCTCCATTAAGAGATGCACTTACTTTGATGCAGCTAATTGGTCGTTTGAAATCCCCTTTTTCCGGTAAAAGAATGTATACCTCGTCCCTTACATCCGAATCATTATACCTTACATTAGCTTCCAATGTTCCACTGAAAACAGAGCAATTAAAAGTTTTCTACAATTAAAAAACGCTGAAGTAAGTAGTTTTTGTTTTTTAAATCGAATTTAGCGACTTCAAATTTTCACCCTTTACTCAAAAAACTTACGGATTTTGCAAATCCTGGCACTTAGTGAAGGAATTGTTATATTTTTTTCCGGTCAAGGATATGCCTTGAACTGAGAGGATAATAAGACCAAATAAACTGAGAACTGCTACCTTGAACATTTTTATTTTAGGACTGATTGCTCCTTGTTGATAAAAGGCTGCCTTATTTGAATTTTATCTGTACAATCTAATACATCTAATTTACCTTATGGAGGTGTTATGTACCTAAGTGTCGATGATTATAATATGAGTACCTATAGTGCTAATAAATGAGAAAAAACAGGTACTTTTATGGAGCTTTTCAGAGCTTTCGAAGAGCCATTTTGAAGCTCTTTTGAAAGTTGAGATCCGTTATAGTAGTTAATAAATAAATAATTTATACTTCAATTAAGTGCAGGTACATTAAATAGCAAATTTATTGTAAAATTTCATTTACCAAAGGAAGTAATAAGTGGCTAAATAACATTAGTGTAGTAGGTTTAATATTCTTAATAGAAAAGAAGCATAAGTTAGGTTATATTTTGTTTAAAAACAAAAAGTCAAAAGTCAATTAAAAAGGGAGTCGAAACAAAATACTGTTATATTTAAATAAAACATAACGATGAACATTATCGATGAAAGAAAAGTAGAAATATCAAACAAATTGAAAAAAGTAAACGCATTTTATTATATTACAAAATCTCGATTCAATTTCTTCCAATTTCAGGAACAGGCCAATCTTTCGTTACTGCAAGAAAGGCTAACGAAAAGCGCACAATTAACCGAAGGAATTAGCAGTATTTTGAACAATTTCGAGCAAAGATTATCCCGATTAGAACACACCATTTTACCCGTCTACATAGAAACAGAAACACTCCGAACGGCCCAAACGAGTATAGTTTTTTTCATTTCGATAATCCAGTGGGCGTGTTGAATATGTCAATTTTCAGATATCGAACCTACATTGCGCCTACTGGATAATGTCATCAGCCATTTCGAGGTCTCCAGCGATGTGGAGCACATAGTAGAAAGGGGCCCCGGCGAAGGGGGTACCGATTTACAATCGTACATGAATGCTCTCGAAAGGCTATCGAAAGCTCAAAAGTACTTCGAAAAGAACATACCTCAAAGTGTCGAGTTGATCAATGTTGTAAGTACATAATACAGGGTGTCCCCTACATACTCTATTAATTTTTTTCCTAATTTTAGACCTCCCTTTTTTTAAAGGGCAGTGATAAACTAAATACGGAATTCAAAACAATTTTGGACAAGTATAATACTCCTATTTTGCCCGTGGTACTGCTTGATTTGATAAATGCGGAAGGTAAATTTTCGTTTAGATATCTTTTGAATAAGAATTTGCTTCCATTAATTCATTAATTTCTGTATAAATACTGAATAATAGAGCTTTGGTACTATAAAGTATTGTACTCAGAATAGAAGAGGATTCGTACAAGGCTTTCATACAGTCTTTTTATTAATACTAGTCGATTAAAGCAAATATTTGTATCTAAGAAGGTGTAATAAACTATTGGACAAAATTAAAGCAACATCATAAATTTGTCACATTTTTTATGCTTTTTTTTTGTTTGAATTTATGATCCGATTTGGATGATTTTTTTTTTGTATTTAAGTTGGTTCCTTGACAATGTCATCATTTTCGCTGTTTATGATAAAATGTTCCTTCTCGATTATACCGGGTGTAATAAAAATGTAATGTTTTTTTCCGAAAATTCGTATCACTCTGTGGAGTATACTAGCAAACAAGACATATAGCAGTTGACATTAGACGATAGATCCATCTTTTGTCAACATTTTCTTTTTTGGTTTACTTCATTATCTCTGTTATTAAAGGAGATACGCCGTTTTATAGCGTAACATGTTTTAATAGACTGTATTATTCAAAACATTCATTGTTAAATATTTTCAAGTAGGCTATGGGCCATTTTTGACATTTCAAGTGATGTGTCAATATCGAATACATTATTTGTTATTTTAATCTTGAAAAATGAATCGTCCAAAAAATTTATCGACCGAAGAAGCAGTAAAAGCCTTAACTTTGGTGGATGAAGGCTATTCAATGAGTCATATTGCAATGGAGCAGTGATTCGAAGTAGAGGTGAACATACACGTTATTAGCATTATAAATTCATTAATTTTATTGTTTTTGATTTATGTTCTTTCCTTGTTTTACTCGTTTCCAAAAAAATGTGTTTAATAAACTCTTAATTTTACTTTATGAAATAAAGTAATTCGTTAATTTTGTTTTCATTCATCAAAGCGAGCAGGAATTATTTTGTTATACAGATAACAAATAATGTATTCGATATTGACACATCACTTGAAATGTCAAAAATGGCCCATAGCCTACTTAAAAACATTTAACATTAAATATAATAGTCTATTAAAACATGTTACGCTATAAAACGGCGTATCTCCTTTAATAACAGAGATAATGAAGTAAACCAAAAAAGAAAATGTTGGCAAAAGATGGATCTACCGTCTAATTTCAACTGCTATATGTTTCGTTTGCTAGTATACTCCACAGAGTGATACGAATTTTCGGAAAAAAACATATTTTTATTACACCCGGTATAATCGAAAAGGAACATTTTATCATAAACAGCAGAAATGATTAAATTGTCAAGGAACCAACCTATAATACAAAAAATAATCATCCAAATCGGATGATAAATTCAAACAAAAAATAGCATAAAAAATGTGGCAAATTTATGATGTTGCGTTAATTTTGTCCAGGAGTGTATAAATCGATTTATCTATTTTAGAATCTACAAAGGAGATTAAAGTAATGCCGAAACAGATTCCGGACGAAGCGAAATCCAACCTAATTCAAATAGCCAATTGGCTTTTGGACAACGGTCGAGATGAATATTTAACAGTGTATGGAAAAGTTAGAGGTAGCGTTGTACAGAGGTCTTTAACGATGTTAAGAAACCATCAGAAATCCGTCAGCGGTGGAAGCGTACACGGTACCACCAGTTCACCTTTAATGGTTTGTATTTTCTACTAAAAGATTGGTAGAATAATGTTGAATTACAAGGGTAATGTGAAAAGTTCTCGACCTGACAACGAAAGATCGCGATTTTCAGTTGAAAAATGGCATTATTTTTCTTATTAAGTCGAAATCTTTAGTTCAAGACAGTAGGTGTGTGAAGTTGGCACCGCAACTTTAGTTCTCAGTAGTTCTGATTAGAGTTCTGGATTCCTTTTGGATAGTTTAGGAGTTCTTTTGTACCAAAAATAATAGTTCTGGTGTTTTAACACATTATTTGTTTAAATAAAACATGCGGTGCTAACTTCAAACCTAAATTTACAATGGAATAGTTCTGATTAGTTTATTTGATGTATTTTTATGAGTTCTAGAGTTCCTGAATATTAAAAAATAATAATAATAATAAATTTCATCAATAAACAAGTATAAATAGTTAATCAATTAGATATATTATCAGACAACCCATAACTTTTTAATTATTGAAAAATTTGCAAAATACCATTTTGGACTTGTAGTCAAAAATCACTTCGAGCCAAAAAAAGTCCGAGTTTGAAATTTTTTTGACAGTTCTGAGGAGTTCTGATAGCAGTTCTGAATAGTATTTCACGAGTTTTACAAGAAACTTTAATGGTATTTTGCGATTAAAACAATAGTTTTTGAGATATTCTCAAAAATCACTTCGACCCAAAAAAATACAAGTTCTAGTTTGAAAATTTTTTGAGAGTTCTCAGGAGTCCTGATAACAGTTCTGAATAGTATTCGACGAGTTCTACAAGAAACTTTAATGGTATTTTGCGAATTTTTCAATAATTAAAAAATTATGGGTTGTCTGATAATATATCTAATTGATTAACTATTTATACTTGTTTATTGATGAAATTAATTATTATTATTTTTTAATATTCAAGAACTCTAGAACTCATCAAAATACATCAAATAAACTAATCAGAACTATTCCATTGTAAATTTAGGTTTGAAGTTAGCACCGCATGTTTTATTTAAAAAAATAATGTGTTAAAACACCAGAACTATTATTTTTTGTACAAAAGAACTCCTAAACTATCCAAAAGGAATCCAGAACTCTAATCAGAACTACTGAGAACTAAAGTTGCGATGTCAACTTCACACACCTCAAGACAGTTCAAATGATTATGGAGCATTCTAAATGGTTTTAGACAGTTCTGAATGATTCTAAATAGTTTTAGACAGTTCTAAATGATTCTAAATAGTTTTAGACAGCTCTAAATTATTCTGATGACACAATTTTCTGTTTTGAAGAAACCGAAGTTCCATAACAGACATGAAACGTCCAGACGCCCGTCGACTAGGAGAATAGGTCAAGTTTTCGAAAGGAAAGCCAACAAAATGCGACAAACTTTAGAACTATCGACTGGCTTATCATTGGGTACTAGAAGGGCCTCCCATTTAGGTTCGTATTTATACTTACATACAGGGTGTCCCAATAGTGCGGTAAAGCCCATTTACTCAGTTATTATAATAGATACGAAAAAATGATAAATAGGAAAAATGTTAAGCACTTTTAGGCGCATAATTTAAAATTATTTTGAATTATACAGGGTGGCCGATAAATCGAAGCCATACCAAACATACCTTTTTTTAAAGGCAATGATACATTTTTTATTTCATATTCGATTTCAGCTCGTATTCACGAGTTTCTCAATATAAGATTTCATATGATTATACTGAGTATTTAAAAAGTTATGGCCATTTTTATGTTTAAATCGACATGATTTCAAGGCCCTGTATATCAGAATCTGTATCAGATAATGTGAATTTTTTCGTGTCAGCATTTTTTGAAAATGGTCTATTTTCACAAAAAATAGTTACATTTTAACAAAATTACAATTTGTATACAGGGTGAGTCAAAACGCAAACATAATAATTACTCGCTTAATTTAAATGGAACACCCTATATTAATAATATCCAATGGGAAGTCTATTTCTTACTGAATCTTTTTTCATAACATTTCTCTATACCTAACTGTCACCGTTTCTGAGATATTTTCAGTTTTATTAAAAAAATGTCCAATTTTTGATTATAATTTCATTTTAATCTAATTACCAATGACGTCGTCGAACTTTTTTTGCTAAATAATAGTAGAAAATTAAATATCGATTAATGATTAACCAAATATCATTAGCAGGTACCCTAAATTTTTATCTATTCTATAATTTAAAGTGACACGAGTTCAATAAGTAGAATTTGCATAGTTCGTAGATGATGACGTCATAGAGGTAACTAGATTAAATTAAAATTATAATAATTTAAAGTTTAATTTAAAAATTACCAAATATTTCGGGTAGTTAATGATCGTTAATTAATTGATATTACATTTTCTACTATTATTTTGCAAAAAAAGGTCGATAACATCATTGGTAATTAGATCAAAATGAAATTATAACATCAAAAACTGGACATTTTTTAATAAAACTGAAAATATCTCAGAAACGGTGACAGTTAGGTATAGGGAAATGTTATGAAAAAAGATTCAGTAAGAAATAGACTTCCATTGAATATTATTAATATAGGGTGTTCCATTTAAATTAAGCGAGTAATTATTATGTTTGCGTTTTGACTCACCCTGTATACAAATTGTAATTTTGTCAGAATATGCCTAATTTTTGTGAAAATAGACCATTTTCAAAAAGTGCTGACACAGAAAAATTCACATTATCTGATACAGATTCTGATATACAGGGCCTTGAAATCATGACGATTTGAACATAAAAATGGCCATAACTTTTTAAATACTCAGTATAGTCATATGAAATCTTACATTGAGAAACTCGTGAATACGAGCTGAAATCGAATATGAAATAAAAAATATATCATTGCCTTTAAAAAAAGGTATATTTGGTATGGCTTCGATTTATGGGCCACCCTGTATATTTCGAAATAATTTTAAATTGTGCGCCTAAAGGTGGTTAACATTTTTCCTATTAATCATTTTTTCGTATCTATTATAATAATTGAGTAAATGGGCTTTACCGCACTATTGAGACACCCTGTATATAGAGCTTGTAGAATTTTGAGCTATATTGCTCAGTAGTTCTTAAAACACAATAATTTTATAACAAGGTAAACACGATGATTGGTGATTGCTTTTAGACATGTCTTACACCGGCGAAGAGTTGGACAACGAACAAGAAATGGACAATTATCTGATATCGGTGATGGCTTTGTATAGGCTGATGCAATTCGAGCAATTGCTGATGAAAGACATCATCACGTCGGCGCATCAACCGCGAGTTTTCGAATTGATCGTAAGGGAAGCGATGGATATCATTGTACAGGATGGAGAAGTAATTTATTTGTAGTTTCAATATGTAGATTGTACAATTCGCTAGGTAGATGATTGTCCAACGAATCAAAAATATGAATCTCTTTAACTTCAAGTCTTTCTTGCATTTATGAAAGTTGTTCTACACTTGTTCTACGCTGATGATTCTTTGGATAGATGCAAAATTGAGTTGTCAGTACCACCAGGGGCCTGTTTTATATAATTGACAAGTTGACAAGTTACAATGTTGGTTGACAAGTATTTAAAAATTTCGTTTCATAAAATAAATTTCGACACTTGTCGAATTACATTTTTGGCATTCGTTTTTCTACAACTGTAATATTAATTAAACGTCAAACTTAAACCAAAAAGAAAGAATTAGTACTTACTATACTGAGGAGCATAAGTATTATCACCACCTTCCTTTTTTCGATATTGGGAAACTTTTACTTTGAAATTGTTTTTTTTTTTCTAGTTGGAGCTATTTTTAGATGTGAACCACGACAATTTCGTTTATTGACAAAAAACTTATTTCTAAAATGCAACAACATTTATTTAATATTCAATTATTTTAATAAAGAAAGAGCATTCTATTTGGAAAATTTAGTCCCACTTCTACAAAAGCTATAAAATGAGCATTGAAACGAACAAAGACAATGCATAATTTCTATACGTTGGTTCTATACATTAGGCGGGGACAAATAGATTTTATTATTTCCTCAAATTTTATCGAATTCATTCGAAATCTTTTATTAAACTCTCATTAAGCTTCCTCCTCACTGTCGCTTGACCACATTTTCTTTTAAATTTACAAGAAAATTGGATGGTGACA